TCACACTGACTGATACAGTCACACACACACACCAACCCGCACACGAGATTATGAAACTCTGAAAAAGAAAGCATCCAATTTAGTATCGTGGGAGTAACTGCTGACCTACGACTAAAGCTTTCGTCACACTGATACAGTCACACACACACACCAACCCGCACACGAGATTATGAAACTCTGAAAAAGAAAGCATCCAATTTAGTATCGTGGGAGTAACTGCTGACCTACGACTAAAAAGTCCGTGAACAGGACATCTTATGAACCCGACATTGGCCTTTGACAACCCCGACTGAATACGATTTCACAAAAGCCTGTCTTGGATCCTGGATCTGAATATACCAAATAACCAGGTTATAGACGGCATGGTGGACAGTGATAAATAGGAAGCTGTTGCGCAGAGCTCAATGTTTCTAAAAGGAGGATATTCAGCTGGACGATAGGCCGTACAATTTCACTCGTAATTTACTGAGTTGCTCACAGATAGCATTTCAGTGCTGTGCTGTAAAGTGAATTTATTAAGGTGGAAAATGTAAAAAGAGGAAGTGACCATAGGAGCACAACCATCCAGAGTATAAAGAACACCATGCGATTTATTTAAACATCCACCTACCGTACTTTTGTTGGAACTACGTGCGCTTGATATGTTCACAAAAGTTCAACAAGTCTTTTCTTAGTCTGACTGTCAAACATGATAAATGCGTGTGTCCGATTGCAACGGTTTAAATCTCATTAGAAACACACTAGTGGTGCATTCACACTTGTCTATTCAAAGGAGACGAGTTTGGCGTCGAATAGTATATAAAGCAAACATGTTCGATCGGAATTCTTCCAACACACGTAACTTTGTGCTATTTACGATTGCAAACCCCTCTAAATTTTTTCTCTCTGTGTGTGACGCGTGAAGAAATAACGATGGTTCATCAACTCTAGTAAAATGGCATGTCTTTCCGTGCGTTTCCGCGAGTTTTTGAATAATACCTTTGTTGAAAACAGACAGAAAGCCGTAAAAATATTTCTAGTTCTGCATTTTTTCTTCACCTACATCGAAAGTTTACTCATCTTAGTGTGCGTTTTACGGGGTCGTAAACCATCTTACTTGGGAATCTTGGATAAACAATGATGTGCACAGTGCAATACCCGATACTTTCAACGATAAGAGACTGGTCTGTTGCCTTGGGTGGTCCAACGGCATGAATCTGAAACTCAATTAGTTCTACGTATGTTGCGCAATGATTCTCCCAATGTTTGGATGACGCCCGCCCAAACATTGATTCTGAAGACAAGTGACCGTAGC